TTGAAAACTTCATTTAGTTTAGAACCCCTCCTTTCCCCCCAAACAGATACTCGCTATATACAGCAGATAACTAATATATAAAACATAGACAAACGGAGCCTCTGAAATGTGAAATGTGAAACACCTCTATAGGCCAATCTGAGACACTGATGGAAAACCTTGAGATAGGACATACAAAGAATTTTTAAACATTTATTTATTCATTATTTTAGAGAGATAGAGAGCACACACGTGCATGCACAAGGGAGGGGAGAGGCAGAGGGAGAGGGAGAGAGAATCTCAAGCAGACTCCCTGCTGAGCCCAGGGCTCCATCCCAGGACCCTGAGATCATGACCTGAGCTGAAATCAAGAGTCGGATGCTTGACCGACTGAGCCACCCAGGTGCCCCATATGAGGAACATTTTTTTTAAAGATTTTATTTATTTATTTGAGAGAGAGAGAGAAAAACAGCATGAGAGAGGAAATGATCAGAGGGAGAAGCAGGCTCCCTGCTGAGCCGGGAGCCCGATGTGGGACTCGATCCCAGGACTCTGGGATCATGACCTGAGCCGGAGGCAGTCGCTTAACCAACTGAGCCACCCAGGCACCCCATATAAGGAACTTTTAAACAAATACTAAATAAGTCTTTTATTAATAATAGCAAAAAGATGAATTTTTTTAAAAGACAAACAAAATAAAACAAAACAAAATACAACCAAGAAAGGTCAAGTTAAAAATAAAATTTCCGTGCTAATGGATTAAAACTTATTTTTAATTATTACTTTAAATTTTCTAACAGCGGTTTAACGTAATTTTTAAATTTATGCTTGTGCAATAAGGACAAGCTTAATCTAATTAGGCTGCCCTTAGCACTACACTTAAATCTGCCCACAACAGTAGATAATATTCTTATATGTAAAGAGAATCTGTGTAATGCATTTGGTACCCAACCAAGTGGAAAAGGCCTTGATTTAAAAACTTGGAAGCCAAATGTGTTCTCTATCAAAATTAGAAGCTACTGTTCTGATATATTATTGGGTCATTTCACCAGCAGTGGACCACAGACACAAGCTTTATTATAAAATAGTGGCATGTTTTAAATGTCCATTAATATATGTTTAATTATAATGGAATGTCTATAAAAGTCCATGTGACATCTATGCAAAGATCAAAACAATCAATTTTAATCAGCATTAACTTAATGGATACAGAATGAATTAGAAAGAAAGGGATGTTCCAAAGGAAATAAATAACACATATAGAAAGCTTGAAATTTTTTAAAATATTTTATTTATTTATTTGACAGAGAGAGACACAGAGAGAGAGAGGGATCACAAGCGGGGGGGAGTGGGAGAGGGAGAAGCAGGCTTCCCGTCGAGCAGGGAGCCCGATGCCGGGCTCAATCCCAGGACCCTGGGATCATGACCGGAGCCGAAGGCAGACGCTTAATGACTGAGCCACCGAGGTGCCCCAGAAAGCTTGAATATAAGTAATAATAGTGGGTTTATCTTTAAAGGAAGCAAGAAAATTCTGATTTCATATAGATATGACTTAATTAATAACTTTTAAGTGTATAATTTTAACAGTGGCCAAAAATTCCAATTCACTGAAGTACACGAAAAGAGAATGTACATTCATTCATTGTATATTCATTAACCCAGCAAATATTTATTCAACATTTGTTAGGTAGCATACATTATAATAGTAAAATATGCTACCTAGCCACAAGTTGCTCATAGACTGAGTTCAGAGAGGAATATAATTGCATAAATATAATTCAGCGTAAATAGGAACTATTATAATAAGAGTTATGTACACAAAGAAGAGAAGAGTCAGAGAAAATCCTTAACGGCTGTCCTCAAGAATGTGTGGTAACAACAACAACTAAAATTCTTAAGAATGTGTGGTAATTTATAGGTATAAAAAAATAGAAGATTATTCCAGAAAGGAAGGAGAACATGTGCAGCGTCATGGGGTAGGGATGAACAGAGTGTCTTCAGGACAACAATCTGCGTTGTCCACGTTGGATGAAGAGTAAGGTTTGGGTGGACACTGTGGGAAAGGAGGTTAGCTGGAGGCAAAAAGCGGAGGCTTTTAAAGCCAAGCTGAGTAATTTGGACTTCGAGACCCTGGGAAGGAACTGAAGAGTTCAAAGAAGGTGAGTAACATAATATCTTCTACTTTTTTAAAAGACCAATGTGTTTACACAAGGAGTTAATATCAGTGAATATCAGAGAAGTTCAGATACAAGGACAGAGAGACCCTTACAGAAAGTTACAATAGCCCCAGAGGATGAGCCCCTCAGCCAAGATGGCAGCAGGGGAGCACCATGAAGGGCAGAAGCTACAGAATAAACACTGACTTGAGGTTGGGGGGTGGGGATGGATGTAGAGGGGGTGGATTGTAGAATGACTCCCATGTTTTTGACTTGGTAACTTGTTAGATCATGGTATCTCTGACTCAAATAAAAAATACAAGGAAATAAAGGTCCAGGAGGAAATAATGAGTTCAGTGCTAGACCTGTTGAAATTGATGTGCCTCCAAGTTATACACGAAAAGGTCTCAGACATCAGTTGCATATATAGAAATATAGGGCTCAGAAGAAAAGGGCAGAATCAGAGTTTTTGCATTAATCACATCATGTCCATGCTTTGAAATGTTTGATCAGTATACATATGTATCTGTTCGGCAGTAGGGTTTCGGATGTGTAAATTACGCCACCACTGACAAAGTTGAAAGAAGCACCTGTGGCAAGTTTCAGAGCAGAGAGCTACAAATGTGGCAATCAGAAGTTTGAGGCAAAATATGCCTGTGCTCAGTGGGCATGGACAAATGATTCATTAGCTCAGCGTTCTCACAGAAGCCAATCTAACATGTCTGAAAAATAAGTCAGAGATTAGCCACTTACCTCCTCTACATTCATTCACATACCTGTTCCTTTATTCTCATTGTCTGGGTACTATCTCAGATGCTAGGAAAATAGCAACAAATAAGATGGAGAAAGCCCTGGGCTTCATGGAGCTTAGTTTGGTCCAAGCTCACCATGAACACACACACAAATAAATAACATAATTTAATTACAGAAGTAATACACATAATGAAGAAAAAGGAAGCAGGATGAAGAAACAGTGTGAAAAGTGGCATTTAAAAAGGGGTGGCCATGGGTGTTATATGTAAACAATGAATCATGGAACACTACATCAAAAACTAATGATGTGATGTATGGTGATTAACATAATAAAAAAATAAATAAAATAAATAAAAAAATAAAAAGGGGTGGCCAGAGAAGAATTCTTTGTTGAAGGGAAGGGAAAAGGGAGTCATGGAAAAACCCTCATGTATGCCCATGGCTGTTATGAGTGTCATTATGTTTAAATAAAACGCTTTTTTTCCCCCCTAAGGAATCCCAACAGAGGACACAAAAGATGAGACATAGTGCTGATGTCTAACTCTGATCCTTGTCTTAGTTCATCTTATTTCTATATATGTGAAAAAGATGCAGGGTAGAATCTATGAAGTTTGGGAGGGAACTGTGGTATCGTATATAGGGAAACAGCCTAATGAATAGTTTTTAAAATAGTCTTCGTTTCAGAATGAAGAAACATTTTGTTCACTTAAAATATATATATATATATATATGTCTAACATTCGTTTGAAGGCCAGTGAGTTCCTTGCTGTAGCTTAGACCAGATGAGTCTTATGGAAATAAGTTTTACGCTCATGAAAATTGGAGTTTACTCAGGAAATACCGCTAGTGTCTTAATGAAAGTGCATTGCATACCCCTTCTGAAATTTAACACATGGAATGAACCTTTCCACATCTGTAGCAAATGCAGACTTTGCTGCCTTAAGGGCTTGGCATTTTCAGATAAAAAAGAATCAATGTCATTATACAGTATCTCTCTAGAGCATCGTAATTATTCTGCATGCATACAATATTTATTTAAAACTCAAAATTGAACTTCAAGAGGTGGTCATTTGAAAGCTGGCAGTCAGTGAACGGATCCTGTATTCATGAAAAAGGGAATATTTCTTCTAAAAGTTGAGAAATAGATCAAAACGGTCTTTCCAGGAACTGGCACTTTAGTCATATAGATGCTTTTTATGTGTCAGATTTATTAATCAAGAAGGTCCACGGGAACGAGAGAAGGAAATCTGGAGGATGTGACTGTCGGTTTTTGATATGTCAGGTATAATTTTGTGGCTGTGATTTTTGGATTGCAGTACACACACAGCACTGTGCCGATGTTTGTGTATCTCTTTATCCTCATCATTTGTGATGACTAGAAAAGAAGATAAGGCGGAGATGTTTTGATACAGGATTGAAACTTGAAACTCCAGTCCTTCAATTTGAACAGTATTCCTGTTTCATCTTTCTTTTCATGTTACCTTTTTAACTTTTGCCACTGATGTAAAAGGGAAAAAAAAAAGAAAATTTGAAAAGATGCCAGGTGTTGGTTCTTATCTGGGTGAAGGATCACAGAAGTGGAGGATAAAATACAGTTTGTAGTTTGTCGCAGCAGCAGACTTATGAAGATCAAACACTTGTCAACAACAACTGTTTGTCTTCCTCTGGCCATCACAGAATTATTAAGACAGTGACAGCTCCTCATAGTTGGTACGTTTGGCCAGGATTGTAGTGTCTAATGTTCCAATTAGCTGAACAGGATGCATTCTGCCGTGATGAATACAGTCTTCCTTAATTGCTTTTGGCTGCTTCCGGAAATAAAAGAGCCTCGTTGTGTTACAAATGCGCTGGTCACTGTGAAATTCAGAATGGTATGTTCCCTTTTAAGTTGTCAAAAATAACACGGAACAGGTATCTGCAAAAGCTGAGGTAGAGCAGTTTATTTTTATGATGTTTGAACTGAGAAGGCAACAAAACTGTCTGCAAAGCAAAAGAACCAGGCCAAACTTTTCTTTGGTTATTATTTTATTGTGCCTGCCGAATCACCGGTTTGAGGTTTTTCTCTATTGGTTTTCACAAATACACCAGCTGCTTGCGTGCTACTTCGATATTTTGTACTGTATCATGCAATTCTTGGTGAAAATTCTTATTTGTGACCAAATCTGAATGACTCTTTGTTTTATGCAAACTTACTAAATTTTTTTTTTTTTTCTTTTTGACTCCCGCAGATATCAGTGCATACCAAATGTCTAACAGTCTTGGTCTGTATTCAACTCAGATTATTTTGGGGAAGTTTATCTTTCCGAAGTCTAGAGCCAACAGTGCCTTGCAGCATTTGCAGGGACTGGTGTTCTGCAGCAATTCTTTTTTGTTTTTGTTTTTGAGATTATTTATTTATTTATTAGAGAGAGAGAGAGAGAGACAGAGCACAAGTGGGTGGCGGGGGAGGGGCGGGGGGAGGAGGACAGCAGACTTCCCGCTGAGCAGGGAGCCCGATGCGGGGCTCGATCCCAGGACCTGAGATCACGACCGGAGCCGGGAGCAGACGCTTAACTGCCTGAGCCACCGAGGCGCCCCTTTTGCAGCAATTCTTGAAGCCCTTTTCAGGTTCGCGTCTCTTAGCCATAATTGCCCTCAGTAGCTACAGGAGGTCCCAGAGAGCCTGAGGGGCTGGTAGAAATTTCATCACCATGTGGGCAAAAAGAAACGGGTGTCAAAAACAAGGAAGGCAATTTGAACAAGAAAATCTTGAATAGAGATGAGAAGCCATAAGATACAAAGACAGAAAATTTCAGATGAAAAATATACTCCTCTAATATTTTCAGGGATTTTACGTGTGGTTTTAATTCTTTAAATGAGATTTGTACCTCCCTGTATGCCAAACAAAATCACTTGAGAAAACCAAGTTGAACAATAAAATTATGTGCATATAAATAAAATGACATCATATTTATAAAGAGCACTTTACAAATAGTAACCTAATCTATGTACCTATTGTAACTGCACATAAGTCTGAGTTTGCCCAGAGGGTTCATTCCTAGCTATGAAAAAAAAAAAAAATTGACCAAAGTCAAGGTCACTACTTCACTGCTTAACCTAACCAGTTTCACTGATTTGGAGAAAACTCAGCACAATCTTCTCAACCTCCTTCTTCCAATTAGTATTTATGAGTGTGTGTTCAACTTTCTGAAACTAACACATGAATGTAGTGCTAAAAAGGCTTATGTCACAATCCAACAGTCTTTACTACAGCCCTTAGTTACTCTGCTTTATAAAGATAACCATTTTCGATGCCATTAACGTATTTCTTCTTGGTGTGGTACTTCTATGGTATTCATATAGATGTGTCATATATATGTCCATTTATGTCATATATATCCTATATATTCCATATATATTCTGGGATTCATAGATATATATCCATATATATCACATGTATATCCATTTTTTAATTTAACAATTATAGAAATAATATATTGACTTTTTGTTTTGGAAGTATAGAATTTACCTCTCTTATGCTCCCCATCTGCTTGCTCTCCCCAATCTCTCAATATAGTTAAATTATAATTTTCTGGTTAAGGTAATAGTCAGTGTTTATATAAATATAAACTACTTATTGTTATGTAAATAGTTTTCACTCTGGGATTACAATTCTTTTTTAATAGAGCTTCCCCCCCCCCGAAATTAATATTCTCTCATTATTTCCTTGTTTGTTTTTCTCTATTTTTCATTTATATTTCCTATGAGGTAGTTTTCAAAATAAATCCATTAAAATAAATACCCCCAAAATATGTCAAAGGGCTATTAACATTTTTTTTTCTTTTAGAGAGAGAGAGAGTGAGAGGGCGCACAAACAGGGGGAGCTTAAGGCAGAGGGAGAAGCAGGCTCCCTGCTGAACAAGGAGCCCGATGTGGGACTCGATCCCAGGACCCTGGGATCACGACCAGAGCTGAAGGCACATGCTTAACTAACTGAGACACCCAGCCGTCCCTAACATTTTTTTTTAAATTTTTTTTAAAGATTTTATTTATTTATTTGAGAGAGAGAATGAGAGAGAGAGAGCATGAGAGAGGGGAGGGTCAGAGGGAGAAGCAGACCCCCCGCTGAGCAGGGAGCCCGACGTGGGACTCGATCCCAGGACTCCAGGATCATGACCTGAGCGGAAGGCAGTCGCTTAACCAACTGAGCCACCCAGGCGCCCCACCTAACATTTTTTTTTAATGTTGAAACACAGTTTTAAGCAGTCTCCTCCATCCCCATACCAGTCCTCTGTCTCTTGCTCTATTCTATGCATAGCTAACATACTGGTCCTTACCTCTGCAGGTCTCCTGGACTTGAACCCTGGATTCCTGGATCTTCGTTAGTGTTTTTTTTTCTCTTCTTTTGTATTTCTAAAGTAAATCTTCTGGTATCTTCCTAAGAAAGAGTGCACAGGAAACACATTTACTTAATTTAGATATCGAATATCTGGTGATGCCTTTATTCTACCCTCAGATACGATTGGTGACTTTAAAATCACTTTATAATGAAATTTTATAGGCACTGAACCACAAAGTCTTCTGGAACTCAGGGTTGCTCTTAAGAATTCGAATACAATTTCTTCTTCCTAAGCATTTCTCCATGACTTGCTTCTACTCTTTCAGGAGTTCTTAGACTCTTTTTCCACCCCTGTGTTTCAGAAAGCTTGTAACAGTCTGCTTTGGTGAGAATCCTTCTCCCTTGTGCTTGGCCTTCAGTAGGCCCTTTCCATGTGGAGACGTATGACCTTCAGTTCTGTGAAATGCTTCTGAACTGATTTTGATAATTTTGTCGCCTCTGTTTTCTTTGTTCTTTATTTCTGGATTTTGTAGCTTTTCAATTCTCTACTTCCCCTTCTGTAGTGTTTGTCTTTTTCCCCCCCCTCCGGGACACTACCTTCCTTGACACTGTCTTTTATATCTTCTGAGACTTTTTTTTTCTGTAATCACATTTTAAATTCTAAGTGTTATTCTTTGTTTTCTGATTATTCCTTCTTATTATTACAAGCTGTTTCTTTTAGGTACAATATCTTCTCTCATCGATCAGGAGAATGATAATCATTTATATAATATTTTTAAATAAAGTTTTTTTTGTGCTTTATGTTGCCTCCATTTTTCTCTAGTTTATTCTATTTGTGTCACTGTATTTTCATATTTCCTTCAAATATTTGGTGTTTCTTGACTGTTCATTCAAACTTAGGAGTGAGACACATTTATAAATTGAAAAAGGAAAACTTGATGACATCTCTTGGTGTGTGGGAAAGATTTCCACATGGATATTTATGTGACGGGAACTTTAAATGTCAGAGTCTATGGGTTTTCCCACTAGAGTTCTTTATTTTCTCCAGACAAGAGTCCTCTATACCTCCTAGGGGTGGGTGGGAGGACTGTGTGGGTGCAGGATTGGTGTGGGCACCGCACTATAGGCGGCCTGGGGGAGGGAGTTGGGGTGTTCGTCAGGTATCATGTGCACCACCCCCACCCCCTCCCACGTTATCTCTACCCTTCAAAGTGCCTGATGTCCCGGACTTTATAACAGTTCTGGTGCTTTTTTCCCCCCTCAGAGACTCAAGTTCTGGTCTTTGAGGAGAAGGTCAACAGGGGAGGACTAGCCCGGAGGTATGTGATAGGTGTCACTTTGTTCTCTAAACACTGAAGCAAGCCTAGTTTTCATATTTCCTTGCCTGATGTTAGGCTTCAAATCTTTAGTAAGTACTTTATTAGGTAAAAGGTTTCACTTGTCTCAAAAGTTATACTTTTTTCATAAGATAATTTGAATTGCATTTTGAGGTAAAATTTTATTGAAAGCTTTATAGCTGACCAGGTGCATTAAACTAAATACTTTTCCTTCACCTACTAATTTTGTACTTTTGTTAAAGAAAGGAGGACTTTCGTTTTTTGAGTGATTTTCTCTCCCTATAAAATCCCATGCTGCTTATTCCTCTTGTTTCTATTATCCCATATAAGCTGTAGGGGTCTTTCTTTTTTTTTTTTTCCCACTCCAGGGACCTCACAATAGACTTGCCAAATTGTAATTATCACAGCAAATCTCTTTGTTCTGACAAATAAAACCTATATGTTTTATTTTACCCCATTTTCTGGAGCTACCTAGTTCAGCCTAAGTTTTCAAAAGTAATCACCAGTCTTTTTGAATCTTGGGAGTGTATTTTTTTAGATCCTGTAATGTGCATAGTGTAAAACCATTTAGAGTTATATTAATTTTTTCTTAGAAATACTATTTCAAGTAATCATGCAGAGAAAAAAAAGTGAAAATGACTATTTGTATCAACTGAGGACCTCAGTGAAGATTGTTAAAGGCTGAGAAATAGGAGCTACAAAGGAAAATTTGAGGAAAGGAATTTGGATTATTTAGCCAAGAGAAAGGTCTAACAGAATCTACAGTTCAAGAACACCATAGTAAAATAATCACCTGCTGTTCTCTACCTCTAGAGAAGGCATAAGAAAAGGAATTAGACTTAGAGTAAAATGTGGAAACTGTGAAACTTTGTAAGATGCACTAACTTTGGCTTTCACCAACACTCTCATAAAAAGGAATAAACGTACAAGGTAAGGCCAACTAGATGCTCAGATTTAAAAGACATGAGTCTGAACAATCCCTACAACTAACTAACTCATTGTTTAGGACCCTAAGACTCCCCCCATCAAAGGTATAGAGACTTCCATTTAGTCAGAAGTATCAAATTTAGAATAAAGTATAAAAGGGACCAATGAATTCAATTGGCTTGGTAAAAGTATTTAATTAATGTTCCTCTCCATTTTGTAATAACACAAGAAAAAAAAACTAAGGAAACAAAGATGTGTGTGTGTGTGCGTGTGCATGCGTGTGTTGGGCCCACTCTGTAAGGGACCCCTCAGAAGGCAGAACACAGATTATGCAGGTGCAGAGACTCCAGCACTATGTGTGTCTTGTCTTCTTGGAAATTCCTATTTAATTTAGTGACTTCCGTAGGAAAATCCCTGGGCATGCTCATGACCCTGGTATTCAGTCTAGCTCCTATGCATGTGCATGCCAGAGGGCTCCTTCTGTATCCGCTCTTCCACATACACGAGCTGTTTGGTTCCACCGGTATACAGCATCCAAAATAAATGTGTCCAGAGCAAAGGCTGACTTGATTTCTTAGTGTCCCTCCCACGTATTTATCCCTGAAATACAATTCTAAGGCTGTAGGGTTTTTTTACTTAGCTTTTCCCCCTTTACCTTCCATTTTTTTTCTTTTTCCAATCCAATTTTTTGTTTTGGATTTTGGGTACCTTATAGAACCTAGGAAAAACTGGATATAGCCTGGATTTTTAAAACAGTAAGGACTTACTAATATATATCAGTATATATATATATTGTATACATGCACACATAGATGATAGATCTGTGTTTTGAGCTGTCCATTTATATATTAGAAGCTGCCTTACGGGAATACGCATTTGTATTGTCACACTTAGTGATCAGTTCTAACCACTACGTAGAGAGAGACTGTCTTGAGGTTGGTTCAGGGCAAATAAGTCATTTTTAGCTTATCGATCTTTAAGGAGAAATGTAGGACCTAGTGCTGAAGGCCTGACATGACACGGAAACCGGACTTCTGGCTGGCTGCAGTTACTGGGCATGGCCTGGGAACTGAGTCCTGAAGGGAAGAGTACGCGCATTCCTTATAAAGAGCCTGAGGGTGGCTCTTTATACACAAACACACACACACACACACACACATATGTATGTAGGTTCTTCCAACTCCCAAATCCTATAATTTCACAATTTAATTCTCTATCAATGTCCAAATATTTGGTGAGGATTTGATACACCGTTAACATAATTCTATGTTTAAACCTGATACAGAAGACATTTCTCAATCACTAAATACTTTTCTCAATAAACATGCTACATCTCCTTAGAAATATATATTACGTATCTGTTGAATAGTCAAAGGGATGGACTTGCAAAAGCTGCAGTGGAAGGCCAAAAGCTCTCAACCATCTCCTCGTCCCCTTTCCTCTTGCAGAATACACCCTGGACAGCTTCAGTTCGAGGTTTCTCAGGAGAGGCCATGTGGCAGATTTCTGCACCAGAAAAGGTAAGTGGAAACTTCTGCCCAGTCCTTCCCTTCTTCATGCTCAGAGGGCAGAGCTGGGAAGAAGTACTTGCACCACCAAGCCAAATGACAAAGGAAGGCCTACGTGACCAGGACAGTGGAGAGTGGGAGACAGTAGGAGTCTCACGACGGCCTTTGCTGAGCTGCTGCACCAGCCCCAGGATGCCCTCCCCCTGGGCTTCTTGCATAACTTGTGTGAAACTTTTATATACCTTTCTAGTGAAGCCAAGAAAGCAGGGATTCAGAGTATTCTATTATTTTAGCTGAACACACATCTTGGCTGCAAGAGGTTAAGTGAGTCATGCTTAAATAATTTCAAGAAGACCTTGGATAAGCAAAGTTATATGGGTTTTTGTTTGTTTGCTCTAAGGCCGATATCTTCCAGCACCTATAAATCCTCCTAGGGTGGATAAAGTAGGGAAGATTTCTCAATGTGTTTGGCCATATACCTCCTACTCCTCCCTCTTTTTTTTTTATTTATTTTTTTTAACAGCTTGATTGAGATATAACTCAATGCTACATAAATTCACCCATTAAAGTGTACGGATCAGTGTTTTTTTATGTTCAGAGAGTTGCACAACCATCACCATGATCTACTTTTAGAACATTCTACTATCCCTAAAAGAAACCCAAGAACTCCTCGGTTTTCTTAACATCCTAAAGAAGGTGTTTCCATAATGTACTTTAATTACATGGCAAATAATTCTATTTTTACAGAAGTATCTACTTTTAAAAATGAGCATCGTCTTTTCAAGTTGGCAACATGAACTTGGCAAGAAATACAATTAAGCTGATATCTAAATTTATACCTTTGGTATCCTCACATCTATCACAAAGTAGGACCAAAACAAATTCCACTGCCACAAATTAGATAGAGTCGTTATATGAATGATGAGACTGATTTCTAAGCATTTGCCTATTGGGATGTAATTAGATTAGTATTAAATGGAGTCAAAGCACATTCAAAAAGAGATTCCGATAAGAGGATGGATGACCTGTTCTGTTTTGTTTTTCCTCTTATGAATAGTTCCCCAAGCAGATTTGTGAAGAGAAAGTTCCTTTTGGCTCTCCTCTTTCACACTCGGTTAGTAAGGATATAGCTGCTGTAACAAACACATCCAGATCCCAGCGGCTGAGAAAGAACAGCCCTAAGAGGAGTGGGCAGGTAGGAGGGTTCACACCTTCTGCTGTAAGGAGTCATCCAGAGCCGCTGGTTTCTTCCACCATTGCACACCGCTGTTGCCTGGGTGTGTCATCAAAACCGGCTGTTATGAACAGAACTGTCCCTCCCCAAATT